TGTGAGAGATTTAGTGGGAGGGAGAGGAGAAAAATCGAAGGTGTAGAGAGAAGAATAGGGTCTGTTGCTGGAGAAGAAGAAAAATGAAGAGAGAGAGGAGAGAGAAAGTGGCGCAGGACCAAAAAATAAAAATAAAAATTGGCGACATGCGACCGATCGCTGGGTGTATGGTACCGGTCGTTTTTAAACAGAGTCTTCGGAGACCGGTCGTTCAAGGAAAACCGACCGGTCGTTTTTTGGCAGATAGTCCGTAGACCGGTCGGGAAACAGTGACGACTGGTCGCTTTGTGGCAGATTCGTTTCTCCGGTTCTTAGTTTGCCGCTGGGTCCGAGTGATTTTGCTAATACGCAACGTTTCACACGCACGAACACATAACAAATTTGGGGGGGAGGGGGAGGGGGGTGTTGATTTGATTTGAGTGACCTAATAGAAAGTAATCGAACTCTAATTTTAACAAGAGTGACAGGAATGAAAATTAAAATGTAACAAACACTAGGGTTTCGGAATCCACCCTAAACAATCCTATCCATTCAACTGTAGAACCAACTATATAGTTTATCTATCATGCTTGATATTTGCTTGTCTCCTCATTCTTGTTCCAAAGCTTTGTCTGCTTTCCATTCTCTTCTTTCCTTCATTGGATCTGAGATCAACGAAATTCTGAGTTTAAAATAATAAAAATCAAAATTAAGTTACTGTCTCATAAAATAATAAAAAACTGAATGGAATTAGATGCTTACATTGGGAAGCCTGGAAAACTAAAGAAGCCCCTTCCAATGTAAAGGCTGTGAATGATGAGAGGAATGGTCTAGGGTGATGTAGGGATATCAAATAGCTAAGCATGGACAAATGAGCAGGCCATTCCTCAATCACAAGTAAGTCAAAATATTCTTCACTCTCCATCTAAACCAAAAATAGACGAGTAAGTATCGATATTAAGTAGATCAATAATAATAAATGATTAAGCCGGATGTCATATACTTACGTGGGTTCCATGCTCTGCACAATTTCTTACACAGATTAGAAAGTGGATGGGATGTCCATCCACCATCCACTTCGATATAATGAAGTTGACCGCATACGTCATTGGATCCTTAGTAACAGGATGATCTTTGCCAGAAGAAATAGGATTATGGGCTGTCACGTTAGTATGCCACATCACTGCACATTCGGGTTCATTTGCAAATAAAAGATTCCAATAGCCCTTATATATTTGCACTGCATTTGCCCTTGAAGTAGAATCGGTACTGTCAAAAAATAATCTCACAGCCAGAAACCTGTCTCTCATCTTTTCTGTATGCGTCTTCAAGAAAGGGCTAAGCACCAGTAAAGACAATATGACACTGAAATTTAACAAAAATGACATCTTATCAGAGAGAACAAATCCTATATGACAGTATTAAAAACGTTTTCAAAAACATACTGGCAGTTCAATAATAATAACAATCATAATAACATGTGACTTACGCGACATTATCGTGCAAGATCCTGCAGAAGAACTCTAGCTCCTTGGGCAAGAAGTCATCATGAATGATGTCAAGTACATGTACAAACATGTCGGTATCGGTAACACATTCAGCCTGATCCTCCTGGTCTAGAGGGTCGAAACATATTGGACTGCCTAATACTGTGCTTCCTCTTCTCACCCATATGTTCTCCAGGGTGACATTCCCATGACAATCATTAGTATAATTGTGCACATGCATAATCGACGTGAGAATATCCCTAGAAAAAAATGAAAAACAATTTTACAAAAATGTCAGCTGGATATGATAAAATCTCCAATCTCTATGGTGGGCAAGAACAAGATGAGGAATAATAATTACCTGTAAATAGAACGGACGGCAGGAGTGATGTAACCAGTTGCCCGATCGATAAGTGGCTCTTGTTCCACCTTCATCTTCGTAACCCAATGTGCAAGCGACGACTTTACTGGTTCAGTAAAGACAATCATAGGGCCCTCAAAAGTGGCGTATAAAGCCTTAATGGATAGCACATATCCTGCATTGCAAGCCTTCTGAATAGAACACCACTTCTGCACGTGTAAAGAATCAGTCCTCCCAAAATAGTGCACTGTAGCAGGAAGGTCACAGTAGGTCCCTTGGTAAACATTCTGTGGGAGACCGTCATCTTTGCTGCGGTCAAAAATTTCATAAGGTGCATAATCCATATAACCGGAACTGCCAGGAGGGAAAGTCTCCTGGTCATACAGTTTGACCCGATTTGGCACCACACAAAATGTAGAAGCAGCAAAGCCAGGGCATTGGCATTGGCTTGAAATGCCAATGCCAATCTGTTTGCTCCGTTTGCTTGCAGACCAAAGGTGGTTAATAACACGCATCATCTGAAACAAGATACTACGAATAAGAAACCAAATCAAATTGAAAATTAAGGTTAACACAAACACATGCCAAAAAATTACAAGTAAACACACTCGAACCAACCTTTTACAATGAGAAAAACAGCAAACAACTTTAG